TGTCAATATTTGTCATAATTTGTCATAAATCACGTCACTATTTCAATAAGATTATAATAAAATTATGAATTTTATTGAAATGGTTGAAATGAAATCGTTTATGGATTATGTTTTTGTAATTAATTATCAACAATTTCTATTTATCACTACTTGAAGTACTTGAACTCACCCTACTTGAAGCATATGAAATCGAAAAAATCCGAAACATATCCAAACACCGAAAATTTAAATGACCAGGTACAACTACAAAAAATCCCCCTGTACAGGTTCCTATCAAACCCATACAACATTAAATCCAAACCACCAGAAAATACATTTAACTAAATTTCGTATCCCCTAAAACCTCTACCTTTTATACACACGAGGAATACAATCCAACTAGTTCCCATATTCCAATCATTTCCATAACACTATTCTATAAGTAAATTTCCATTTTATTTTGCGCTCTTGGCGACACACTCACCTATGGAACATGATTATGTTCCACCCGACATTATATGTTTCACTTGACACATCTGCTACATCCCCATTCTCATTTTCTAAGTTTAGGTAATACATTAATTGTTAAAACTTTCTATTCTATTTCATTTTACAGTCCATTAATGATATATCAAAATTTGAATATAATTGAATGTAAATTTGAATGTGTTTCCTAACCTCAACCTTATACAACGAGGTAAAGTAACATTTTATATTTTTTAATTTTATCTTTAATTTATGAACGTTTAAAACCTTATAGACTCCTGACAATGGTCTAGGCCGAAACCGGTAGAGTTAATAAATTTATATAATATATTGGAGTATAAACATTGTTTATTTTTTAATAAAACACAATTTCTATTGATATCATTCGCAACTAGCACTTGTAATTATTGAGTTACACATAATCTTGGGTTTAAATTCGTCTAATATGAAATGTTTGCGATTTAAATCCTTTAGGTTGGTAACAGACGCGAATGAGTTGCAACCGCTTATGGATTACGATAAGCTGGTTCATTATTAACAATTTTTGTCTACAACACTTTCTGCTGTGATTATTAGTCTCCAAGTTATAACAAAAATTGTTATCTAAAAACGTCAAAACAGAAATTTGCAAATATTATGGATCATAGCTAAAGAAGGGAAATAGTTGAAATGAAATTGATTATGGATTATGTTTTTGTGATTAATTATGAGCAATTTTTATTAATACCATTCTCAACAAGCACTTTTAATTTTTGATTTACATACCATTTTGGTTTTAAATTCGCCTAATTTGAAATGTTTGCGATTTAAATCCATTAGGTTGGTAACAATCGCGAATGAGTTGCAACCGCTTATGGATTACGATAAGCTGGTTCATTATTAACAATTTTTGTCTACAACACTTTCTGCTGTGATTATTAGTCTCCAAGTTATAACAAAAATTGTTATCTAAAAACGTCAAAATAGAAATTTGCGAATATTATGGATGATAGCTAAAGAAGCGAAATAGTTGAAATGAAATCGTTTATGGATTATGTTTTTGTGATTAATTATGAGAAATTTTTATTAATACCATTCTCAACAAGCACTTTTAATTTTTGAGTTACACACCATTTTGGTTTTAAATTCGCATAATTTGAAACGTTTGCGATTTAAATCCTTTAGGTTGGTAACAGACGCGAATGAGTTGCAACCGCTTATGGATTACGATAAGCTGGTTCATTATTAACAATTTTTGTCTACAACACTTTTTGCTGTGATTATTAGTCTCCAAGTTATAACAAAAATTGTTATCTAAAAACGTCAAAACAGAAATTTGCAAATATTATGGATCATAGCTAAAGAAGGGAAATAGTTGAAATGAAATTGATTATGGATTATGTTTTTGTGATTAATTATGAGCAATTTTTATTAATACCATTCTCAACAAGCACTTTTAATTTTTGATTTACATACCATTTTGGTTTTAAATTCGCCTAATTTGAAATGTTTGCGATTTAAATCCATTAGGTTGGTAACAATCGCGAATGAGTTGCAACCGCTTATGGATTATGATAGGCTGGTTCACTGTTAACACTTTTTGCCCATAAAACTTTCTGCTGTAATTATTAGTCTCCAAGTTATAAAAAAATTGTTATCTAAAAGCGTCAAAACAGAAATTTGTAAATATTATGGATCATAGCTAAAGAAGCGAAATAGTTGAAATGAAATTGTTTATGGATTATGTTTTTGTGATTAATTATGAGCAATTTTTATTAATACCATTCCCAACAAGCACTTTTAATTTTTGAGTTACACACCATTTTGGTTTTAAATTCGCCTAATTTGAAACGTTGCGATTTAAATCCTTTAGGTTGGTAACAGACGCGAATGAGTTGCAACCGATTATGGATTACGATGGGCTGGTTCTTTATTAACAATTTTTATCTACAACACTTTCTGCTGTGATTATTAGTCTCCAAGTTATAACAAAAATTGTTCTCTAAAAACGTCAAAACAGAAATTTGTAAATATTATAGATCATAACTAAAGAAACGAAATGGTTGATATGAAATCATTTATGGATTATGTTTTTGTGATTAATTATGAGCAATTTTTATTAATATCATTCATATGCAGCATTTTTAATTTGTAATTTATAAACGATTTCTGTTTTAAATGTGTGTAATTTGAGATTTTTGTGGATTTAAATCCTTTAGGTTGGCAATAGTCACGGATGGGTTATGTTATAACCGCTTATAGGTAAAGTTTTGCTGCATCCTTGCAAACTATTTTCGTCTAAAACATTTTCTTCCAGTATCATTAGTGTTCGAGTTATAATAAAAGTTATTATCCAATAACGTCAAATTGGAGATTTGTGGATTTTATGGTTCATAACTAAAAATGGGAAATGATTGAAATTAAATCGTTTATGGATTATATTCATGCGTTTTAGTATGCACAATTTTTATTAATATCATTTATATACAGCATTTTTAATTTGTGAGTTATAAACTATTTCGATTTTGAGTGTCTAATTTGAAATATTGGTGGTTTTAAATCTTTTAGGTTGGCAGTAGTTGCGGATGGGTTATGTTATAATGGCTTATAGATAATGTTTTGTTGCTTCATTACAAACCATTTTCGTCTAAAACATTTTTCCTCAGTATCATTATTCTTCGAGTTATAACTCGAGATTTGGCATATTTGATGTTTCTAAACTATAAGAACAGATTTTTAAAAAATTGTATCTCAGAAACTAATTAAGATATCATAATAAAATAAAATACGGCTTAATGCAAATTTACATAGTATTTCATGCTCTCAAGATTATTTCTGGGAATCTTTAAATTTTGGAGTTATGATTTTTTGAACGCAACATTGCATAATCTTAAACATAAACGTTGGGGTAATGAATCTTTACATATCTCAAAAACTAATTGAGATATTGTGATGAAGTAAAAAGCAAATTAAAGCAAATTTATTTAGCATTTACTATTTTCAAAATCATTTCTTGTAATCTTCAAATTTCTGAGTTATGATTTTTTGAACTCAACCTTGTATACTCTTAAACATATATGATAAGAGTAATTATTAATCTATACGTATCTCAAAAATTAATTGAGATATCGTTACGCAATAAGAAGCAATTTCTTGCAAATTTATTTAGCATTCAAAAATTTTAAAATCATTTCTTGGCAGCTTTAAATTTTGGAGTTATGATTTTTGGAACACAACCGTGCATAATTTTAAACAGAAATGTTAGGGTGATTAATCTTTACGTATCTCAAAAACTAAATGAGATATCGTTATGAAATAAAAAGCAAATTAAAGCAAACTTACTTAGTATTCAACATTTTGAAAATCTTTTTTTTTAAGTTTCAAATTTCGGAGTTATGATTTTTTGAACTCAACCTTGTATAATCTTAAACATAAATGATGGGGTAATTAATCTATACGTATCTCAAAAACTAATTGAGACATCGTTATGAAATAAGAAGCAATTTAATGCAAATTTATTTAGCATTCAACATTTTTAAGGTCATTTCTTGGAAGCTTAAAATTTTGAAGTTATGATTTTTGGAACACAACCTTGTATAATTTTAAACAGAAATGTTAGGGTGATTAATCTTTACGTATCTCAAAAACTAAATGAGATATCGTTATGAAATGGAAAGCAAATTTATTTATTATTTAACATTTCCAAAATCATTTCTTGGAATCTTCAAATTTCGGAATTATGATTTTTAGAATGCAACCTTGCATAATCTTAAACATAAATGTTAGGGTTATTGATCTATACGTATCTCAAAAACTGATTGAGATATCGTTATGAAATAAGAAGCAATTTAATGCAAATTTATTTAGCATTCAACATTTTTAAGATCATTTCTTGGAAGCTTCAAATTTTGGAGTTATGATTTTTTGAACGCAACCTTGCGTAATCTTACACATAAATGTTGGGGTAATGAATCTTTACATATCTCAAAAACTAAATGAGATATTGTTATGAAATAAAAAGCAAATTAAAGCAAATTTATTTAGTATTCAACATTTTGAAAATCATTGTTTTGAATTTTCAAATTTCGGCGTTATGATTTTTTTAACTCAACCTTGTATAATCTTAAACATAAATGATAGGGTAATTAATCTTTACGTATCTCAAAAACGAATTGAGATATCTTTATGAAATAAAAAGCAAGTTAGAGCAAAATTGTTTAGTGTTCAAATTTTAATAATGATTTCATCCTTTTCTGATCTATGTAACAATAGAAAACAAAATTGACTTTTGGGCTTTAAATCAAAACGTCATTTGTAAAAATGATGTTTTTTTAAAATCTACATAAATATGGCGTAAGAGAAAGTTTAACAAAATCCTAGTGTATCCTCCAAATTCATCAAATTGGTGCCTACAAAGTTGATTTAATAAAATGGGGGGTCAAAACAGTTCAATCAGAAATAACGAAACCGAAATCAACGAAAACGCCAACGACTCTTTCAACCAAGACGTTAACTCAACAATGACCGGAATTATTGGAATATCAAACGAGATTGTTGATAGATTGATGGTGCCAAATCAAAAACCGGTAATATCTGTTTTAATTTTAGTTTTTATGCCAGCTATATTAATGTTAATATTAAAAATTGACGAAGAATTCTAAATTGTAACTCGAAATAAACTTAAATAAATGTTTTTAGGGGATCGGTTTTAATTTATTATACAATAACTATATCGTTAATAAAATAAAAACGTACCGAAAAGAACGAGAGGGTATTGAAAGGGAGCTGCAAGAAGAATACGAGAAACAAGAAAAAATTAAGGATCTTAACCGAGCTTTCGTTGAAGGGATTATGTGGGTTAACAATAAAAGGCGATTAATGGATTGTTATCATAAATATCCTAAACACCCGATGATGTGCGCTGAAGAAGTGAAAGCTTTTACAGCATCTATTCCAATTTGGATTCAAGACGAAAATGTCGCAATGGAAATTTAAATAATTTAAGATTCAAACAATGTAATAATGAAATGGAGCCATAAGTTATGTATTTTAATTGCAAATAATATTATTATAAAAAAATTAATTCTATTTGAGTAAGAATTAATTTTTTAATATTAATTATTAAATTATTTCCAACAATAAAAAAAAATGATGGAGATGTCAAAAAATCTCTTCTATTTTCTCATCTAATTTTGACCATGGCAATTTTCCACTTCACGGCCGTTGCCCGGTTCCATTAATCTCCACATTTTCAGATCCGTACGATGACACTACGGACGGGTGAAAATAATTCCATAAAAGCTTCGAGTTTCACCCTTCCACCCTTTTGCACGTCTCAACGAAACCGGGAGCTCAATTTTCATGCAAAATCCCAAACTGTCACCGTCTCGCTATTCTTTGTAACCGTCCAAACGGGCGAAGAAAACCTTCCTCCTCCCTTTAGGTTCCCTTTTCGAGCTTAAATCCGCTTAAGTAGTGGATGGCGGAAGACGTTATATTTCACCACGTCCGAGGTGAGTTCGTATCCGGACCGCATATTAATCAATATCCGCGAAGACCCGACTTTAAAGTGACACTTTCGGGTTTGCGTTATATGATGATTTATGGAGTCCGCGGCGAAGAGGAGCTTTCTCGCTCATTTTTACTGGCCTCACTTTGATTCGAACCCATTAGGTGCCTTTAATTTACTTAAATTTTGATAGATGTCCTATTCATGTGAGGAGGATTTATCAAAATTTTAAAAATACCCAAAATCACTAAATATGAAGTGTTTTAGTATTATAAATTCGTAACATGAACAAAAATGGAGTTGGAATAAATTAAAAAAAAAATTAAAATGGCCAAAAACGCCAAAAATGCAATTTGGGGATATAATTCATAACTTGTATAAAAATTGGATTGGGATCATGAAATTTCTATGAGTTATACAATAAAGTATGTAGATTCAAATAAAGAATACGATTTTGTGGTTAACCTTAAAATAAAGATGATCTGTGGGGTTAATGTGAGGAGTGTCGAAAAAACGCCAAAAATGCTATTTGAGGATATAATTAATAACTTATAAAAATTGGTTTGGGATCATGAAATTTCTGTGAGTCCTACAATAAAGTGTGCAAATTGAAATAAAAAATGCAATTTTGTGGTTAACCTTAAAATAAAGATGTTCTGTGAGGTTAAAGTAATGAGTGTTGAAAAAACGCCAAAAATGCTATTTGAGAATACAATTCATATCTTGTATAAAAATTGGTTTGGGATCATGAAATTTCTATGAGTTACACAATAAAGTATGTAGATTCAAATAAAGAATACGATTTTGTGGTTAACCTTAAAATAAAGATGTTCTGTAAGGTTAAATTGAGGAGTGTCGAAAAAACGCCAAAAATGCTATTTGAGGACATAATTAATAACTTCTATAAAAATTGGTTTGGGATCATGAAATTTCTATGAGTGCTACAATAAAGTGTGCAAATTGAAATAAAAAATACGATTTTGTGGTTAACCTTAAAATAAAGATGCTATGGGAGCTTAAAGTGAGGAGTGTCGAAAAAACGCCAAAAATGCTATTTGAGAATATAATTCATATCATGTATAAAAATTGGTTTGGGATCATGAAATTTCTATGAGATACACAATAAAGTATGTAGATTCAAATAAAGAATACGATTTTGTGGTTAACCTTAAAATAGAGAAGTTCTGTGAGGTTAAAGTGAGGAGTGTCGAAAAAACGCCAATAATGCTATTTGAGGATATAATTAATAACTTCTATAAAAATTGGTTTGAGATCATGAAATTTCTATGAGTCCTACAATAAAGTGTGCAAATTGAAATAAAAAATACGATTTTGTGGTTAACCTTAAAATAAAGATGTTCTGTGAGGTTAAAGTGAGGAGTGTCGAAAAAACGCCAAAAATGCTATTTGAGGATATTATTCATAACTTCTATAAAAATTGGTTTGGGATCATAAAATCTCTAGGAGTTATACAATAAAGTATGTAGACTCAAATAAAGAATACGATTTTGTGGTTAACCTTAAAATAAAGATGTTATGGGAGCTTAAAGTGAGGAGTGTCGAAAAAACGCCAAAAATGCTATTTGAGAATATAATTCATATCTTGTATAAAAATTGATTTGGGATCATGAAATCTCTATGAGTTACACAGTAAAGTATGTAGATTGAAATAAGGAATACGATTTTATGGTTAACCTTAAAATAAAGATGTTCTGTGAGGTTAAAGTGATGAGTGTCGAAAAAACGCCAAAAATACTATTTGAGGATATGATTCATAACTTCTATAAAAATTGGTTTGTGATCATGAAATTTCTATGAGTCCTACAATAAAGTGTGCAAATTGAAATAAAAAATACGATTTTGTGGTTAACCTTAAAATAAAGATGTTCTGTGAGGTTAAAGTGAGGAGTGTCGAAAAAACGCCAAAAATGCTATTTGAGGATATAATTCATAACTTCTATAAAAATTGGTTTGGGATCATGAAATTTCTATGAGTCCTACAATAAAGTGTGCAAATTGAAATAAAAAATACGATTTTGTGGTTAACCTTAAAATAAAGATGTTCTGTGAGGTTAAAGTGAGGAGTATCGAAAAAACGCCTAAAATGCTATTTGAGAATATAATTCATATCTTGTATAAAAATTGGTTTGGGATCATGAAATTTCTATGAGTTACACAATAAGGTATGTAGATTCAAATAAAGAATACGATTTTGTGGTTAACCTTAAAATAAAGATGTTCTGTGAGGTTAAAGTGAAGAGTGTCGAAAAAACGCCAAAAATGCTATTTGAGGATATAATTCATAACTTCCATAAAAATTGGTTTGGGATCATGAAATTTCTATGAGTTATACAATAAAGTATGTAGACTCGAATAAAGAATATGATTTTGTGGTTAATCTTAAAATAATGATGTTCTGTAAGGTTAAATTAAGAAGTGTCGATAAAACGCCAAAAATGCGATTTGAGGATATTATGATTCATATTTAGTATATAAAAATTAGTTTGGGATCATGAAATTTCTATGAGTTGTACAATAAAGTGTGCAGACTCAAATGAAAAACAAGATTCTTTGAGTAACTTTAAAATAATCCTAACATTAATGATTAAGATTATGCAAGGTTGCATTCAAAAAATTACAACTCCAAAATTTCAAGATTCCTAGAAATAATCTTCGAAGTGTGAAATAATAAATAAATTTAGTTCAAATTGCTTTTTATTTCAATATCTCTCTTAGTTTTTGAGATACGTAAAGGATAATCACCCTAACATTTATGTTTAACATTTAGCAAATAAATACATTTAAACCATGTAAAAACTTCTAACTTGCATTTATTTATATAAAGTCGTACTAGTTTCGGGTTACCCCATCATCAGCGACAAAGTCAATGAAGCTATAATAGGTGTAGACTAGAAATCAAATGAAAATAAAGCATTTTGCTATCTGATGGATAAACAAACTGAAGATAAAAGATGAAATAGGAATGGCGACGTTAAAAAGTGTGGAATGTTAAAAATGAGAAAAACGAGTAAATCTTTAAGAAGATGTGTTGGTGGGATGAGATGAGGCGAGACTCTAGTTTCGCTGATGTTGGGGTAACCCTAAACTAGTACGACTTTATATAAATAAATGTAAGTTAGAAGTTTTTACATGGTTTTTATCTGCTTATTAATCTTGCAACATGGATAACTCTTTCAAATTTGCTTTAATTTTCTTTTTATGTCAACCATGTCTCAATTAGTTTTTGAGATATGTAAAGATTTGTTACCCCAACATTTATGATAGATCAAGATGTTCTGTAATGTTAAAGTGAAGAATGTAAAAAAACACCAATACTATTATTTGAGAATGTAATAATTCACAACTTCTATAAAAATTGGTTTAGGGTCATGAAATGTCTATCAGTTATACAATAAAGTATGTTGATTCAAATAAAAAATGCGATTTTGCGGTTAACCTTAAGATAAAGATGTTCTGTGAGGTTAAAGTGAGGAGTGTCGAAAAAACGCCAAAAAATGTTATTTGAGGATATAATAATTCATAACTTTTATAAAAATTGGTTTGCGATCATGAAATTTCTATGAGTGATATACTAAAATATGTTGATTCAAATAAATTATACGATTTTGTGGTTAACCTTAAAATAAAGATGTTCTGTGAGTTTAAAGTGAGGAATGTCAATAAAACACCAATCTATTTGAGGATATAATAATTCATGACTGCTATAAAAATTGGTTTGTGGTCATGAAATATCCATGAGTTATATACTAAAATATGCTGATTCAAATAAAAAATACGATTTTGTGGTTAACCTTAAAATAAAGATGTTCTGGGAGCTTAAAGTGAGGAGTGTCGAAAAAACGCCAAAAATGCTATTTGAGCTATATATTATAATTCATATCTTGTATAAAAATTAGTTTTGGATCATGAAATTTCTATGAGTTGTACAATAAAGTGTGCAGATTCAAATGAAAAACACGATTCTGTAAGTAACTTTAAAATAAAGGTGTTCTGTGATGTCAAAGCGAGTAATGGCAAAAATGAAGCACCAATACTACGGTTTGAGGATATAATAATAATAACTTCTATAAAACTTGGTTTGGGATCATTAAATTTCTATGAGTTATACAATAGAGTATGTAGATTCAAATTAAAAATTCGATTTTGTGATTAAACTTAAAATAAAGATATTCTGTGAGGTTAAAGTGAGGAGTTAAATTGAAAAATTGGTGAAACGATGAAAGTACTTTATTGAGTTAAATCTGTGCGACAAATGTTTCGAGTAATTATTGGTCTTCTTCAGGCACGAATATAAAGAACAAATGAAAAATGCATTTATTTTTTCAACGATAAATTTGGATAAAACACAAGCGTATTTAAAGTGAGGAGTTGCGTTCAAAAAATCATAACTCCGCAATTTGAAGATTTCATGAAATGATCTTCAAAATGTTGAATACTACATAAATTTGCTATAAATTGGTTGTTGTTTCATAACGATATGTCAATTAATTTTTGAGATACGAAGTGATTAATAATCCTTACATTTATGATTAAGATTATGCAAGGTTATGTCTAAAAA